ATATTTTATTTATTTATTAACAATTATTTTAAATTCGGCATTAATTCTAGAGTATTTTTTTGATGGTATTGCTAGAAGAAATAACCCAACCAGTGTATCTTTTAAATCACCTGATTTAAGTGTTTAGTATCAAATTAGCGGCGTTGTCTGGCGTCAGTCCCCTGGACTTGTTACTTTTAAATTATTTAAAATACCGATTGTAAGCAATTGCAGGGACAGTGCTCTGCCGAAATTAATCTGACGGCTGACTTTTTACATTTTGCCGAGTGTTCGTTCCATCACCATTTATTACATCCAAGTTATTTATGGTACTTTGGCCGCGAGGAAATAAGAAATTTATAGAATGTCCTGATTAATATAAAAAAAAAAATTCCAGATAAATGTATCGGCCTCGAATTACTGATACTGACAAAGTACTTGAATGAGTGATTAAAAAAATGAATTGACAGTAGAAAAATCGATAAGAGTTAAAAAAAAAACTTGATTATGAAAATGAGATTGTTAATTTTTGATATATAAGAAATTTATAGAATGTCCTGATTAATATAAAAAAATTTCTGTCCGGAAATAAATGCACGGCATTTGTCAGGTATTTCATTAAAAAAAAAATATTATAATCACAAATTTATAATAACAAACATTTAACATGCGTGCAATGTTGTAAATCGGTGGCGTGTAGGTATAAAAAATTTAAGTGCGACACGCGATTTATTCACACGCAAGACCTGAGGTACACACGGAAGCACGTAAAAATAAAATTTTAATAAAAAAAGCAACTAATAATTCAGCGGTATTAAAAATTAGTTGCCACACTTCAAAGGAATCGATCGCTAATGCTCAAATCTTGTTTATTTTTTTTTAAATTGGAGCACTTATGGCGTGGGAAAATTGTGAGTTTATATTTATTTATATTCATATGACCCGATCAAGACATTTTTTTTTTAATAATTAAGGGAACACCAAAACATTCGCGACCCAGACAAACTTGCGTATAGTTTGCGGCTCACCAGGAATCATGAATAATCGAATTACTCGAACGATCGATCGGCAACACGACCTATGTGATGTGTGGTAATGTGTGATGTGCACATGTGATTGTTACATTTAATTTCGCAATTTAAGGAAGGCTTTTAAAGGAAAAAAATCGGTAATTTTTAAATAAGATATACTTTCGGTATTGTCTTCAATGTTGGGTCAATAATAAATTATGAATTTATTCCTATTAAGCTTGCTCGCTTCTATGTTAATTAATTTAAATATTATCAAAGAAAATTGTAAAGAAAAAAAATGAATTATAATGAAAGAAATATTGTTCTTATGAAAAAAAAAAAACACTATTGTTACGAAAATTGAAATTTTAAACATTTTTTTTCCAGAATTTTAATTTTTTTTTCTTTTCTGGAAATAAAATTTGTTTTTTTGAAATTTTTCAAAATTTTGATTTTTTATTTTCTATTTTATATAAATTTGATAAATTGATAAAAAATAAAAAATTCATGTGGGTACTACAATAAAAGGACTCGATGAGTGTAACATCGTAATGAGATTGTATCTTCAAAAATGACAGTAATTAAGAGATGACATTGAATTTTGTCATCTAATCATATTTTTAACGATATAAATAATAAATAAACACAGCATGTACAATAAATAATTTTTTATTACAACTCTTATTACAGCGCTTGTGATAATTTTGATAAATAACATACTAGTATTTAAGAAAATATAACTAAGTCTTAAATAAAATACTAAATTTAAACAATAATTACTTAACTATTTTTATTTTTTTAAAAAAACTGCGACTGCCAGGTCTCGAATCCAAGCCTGAGCGGCCGTTATACGGGCAGCCTAAGATTTAAACCACACAGCCACGCAGCCGCTCTTTACTCAACTAATTTAGATAAATTATAATTACTCATATAATGGTACAAATCATTGATAAAAGTAGCTGGCAGTTTCCGATATAAGATATCAAAAAGCACTTGATCTGTTTTTTTAAGCAAAATCTTCCTTTGAAGAGCTTTCTTGAAGTTAAATGCAAGCATTTTCCCATAAATTGGAAACTTTTTGCTCCATTCTTCTCCTTGGTGTTCCGGAATCTGAAGATTCTTGAATCGTCGAGCCAGTAGATGTTGAGATGTACGAAGAATCCTGAAGCAAGACCAATTGGTCATCAATTCTTTGGTGCTCTTTAACAATTCAATCTCTTGTAAGCATTGAGCTTGAAATTTCTTGTATCTTCGGCCACCGAAAGCTTCGATGTTTCTTTCGGAGACGTTGAGTCCCGCGACCATCAGTGCAACAATATGAGTGAACAGGTCAAAAGATGGGGAAAATTCTATCAGTAACTTCCCGTGAATGTTCCTGATATCGATATTAATATTAGCATTCAACAGCAAGTCATGATTAGTCTTGCTCGGCAAACTGATATTATTAAAAAAAATACAGTTTTTACGATTATGGTCGACAATATTGACATCAATATTTGGATGGTTTAGGAGAATTTCTATTGCTTCTCTTGCACCTCTGCTACACGCAGCCATCAAAGGTGTCCATGTGGAATTTTCACCGCGTTTCGAAGATAGGAAGTTGACATCAGCCCCCTTATCAATCAGGATTTTCATTAAATTAACATCATTATGTTCAGCAGCTATTGCTAACGACGAACATCCTTCAGAAGATATTTTGGAATCAACTGGAGCTCCTTGATTGATCAAAAAATTCGCTATCTGAATACGATTATTATAAATGGCTGTTGAGAATAGCATTGGGTCGTTGATATTTCCACCAGCAGCTAATAATTTTTCGACAATATTTATTTCGTTGTGTTTTATAGCAAACAGCAACGCTGGTTGTATTTTATCTACCGTTTGATGGAAACTTAACAAATAGTCTATCATTCGTTTATCATCAAAGGCTATTGCAAAATGGAGGATTGGTAGCGATTTATTGCGTTCACTTTTGGGAAAATCAGATGGATAAAAAGGCTTAAATTCAATCGATGGTATCGTAAGAACAGCATCCTTTGACAACTCTCCGTTTTTTATACGGCTACACATTTCCAAATAATTTGAGTATACACAATAATAAACCATTTTTACAAATTTATTAATTATTTATCCTTATATTATGCAAAATATTACCAATAGATTTTGATAATTTTTTATTAACACTTTTTAAGGATTAAATTTAAAAAAAAAAAAATTTTTATCCAAATTTACTGTCCGTTAATAAACACAATTATTAAAATTTGATAATTATCACTTTCACTTGCTTAACTATTATAAGTATTAAATATTTATTACTCACAATTTTTTTTTACGTAATAAATTAAATACTTTGGTAATTTTATATTCTTACGCGTGGCGTACACTGAAGTCTTGCTCAACGATAAGTGTCCTCTGATTTCTTATTTTTTTGGCTTTCAACTTTTTTGGTTAGGATTTTAGTTTTTCGGAGTGAGAGAGTCTTATAACGGATTTTGATTGGCTCTATCCCCACACGACTTACCTATGCTCCGAGCCGGGAGGGGATAATGTAACAGAGTGGGGCAACTAATGACGTCATGACTAACCTTGAGATTCTCAGGTAATTTGCAGGCCCAACTTAATGTGTCTAGCCTAGCCCTAATGACGTGCTACTCGAGTAATCTCTTTATTGTTTAGCGAACTTTTTGGAAAATTAACTACTTAAGAGATTTTGGCAATTCATGTTCATTATCATTAGTATTAATTGCCATAGTAATGAACAATGGGTCTGGAATATATTTGTAACTAGACTTAAGTATACTCTAAAACCGCTTTGTATTTTAAGTGACCATTATAATGTCCGATAAATTTATCTTTATTTAGTAGTTATTATTTAAATGTCTGTGTTAAAAATTTTTCCTGGGTTAATCCTGATTTTAAATAATATAAGAATAATTATAAAATAAAAAAATTAGGAAAACGGTTGACCCTGAAGGCCATCACTGCAACTTCCCGCCAATTCTATACCTAAACGTTTGAAATTGCACTCTTCGAGCTCATAAATACAATTTGTGTATTATTTTGAGCTCTCCGAGCTCAAAAAAATAGCTTTTGTATGCTTTTGAGCTCTTCGAGCTCAAAAGTTTGGTAGAAGTTTGATAAAACACTATTTTTTGAATTTTCAAATCGCAATAACTTTGGAATAAATGAACCGATTTTCACGCGATTGGCGGCAATCGACGCAGTTTTTGAAGTCCTATGAAGAAGCTTCAAGTTTAAATCGGCCGAGCCAGGAGTTTCGAAGTAATTCCGAAAAAACACCTTTTTCGGTTTTCTTTCGTCAACGATAACTGACGAACGAATTAACCGATTTTGACCGGATTGGCGGCGATCGACGTGGTTTTGTAATGTTAAGAGCTGATTAGTTTTTGGAATAACCACAAACAAAATTCAACGATATTAACATTTGATTTAAAAAAAAATCAAATCATAACTTTGTCTCTAATAGTGTCAATAATTGGGCCTTCTACCTTATCTGTTGATAAAAATTTATTTGAATTATTCTTACTTTAATAAAAAAAATAATTTTTATACATAACAAATATTATTTTTTTAAAAAATAAAAACGAGTTATAGAACTCGATAATGAATTCTGACGTCGCAACAACAATTGTCCCGTTATCGTGTATGTATTATGATTGTCGTTAAGGGGGAAAGTGGAACGGCAAAGTCTGCCGACGTAAATACGGTAATAGCCGCAGTAAATGACCACAATACGAAAATAGACTAGATCTAAACTCACGACAAGGGGGTAGAAAAAGTATTATCGAGCTAGAGGTGCGTCCAATACATCTAGGGCACATTATTCATTGCCCGGCTAGGGCACACGGACAAACAGACTTACTATTGATAAATCAACACGTCCTAAATTTTTAAGTCTATCGGTAGTGATAATAATAATTTTTATGGTCACTTTTAATTTATCTTGTATCGTAAAATATTATTTACTTTTAATCTATCGATTTTTGTTCCAGAAATGTCGCTCGAAGAGTCCAGGCGGTCGCAGAGGCCTTATCGGTATGGAATGGTCTTACTGTGCGTCGGTGCGCTTATCAACTGGTTAGGACTCGCTGAGAATTATGTCGAGCCTGTCAGATATGTCGGGGTGGCTTGTATTGTCGCTGGCGCGCTTTTAATTTGTGCCGCCATGTGTTGTTGGCTTCACGCGCCCCCTGTCAGAACTAATGTGGGCACGCATGGCTCTAATCATCCTAACACTATCCAAGTAAGTTTTTATTTTTATTTTTATTTTTATCATTTTTTTAATAGTTCACTTTTGGTTTGAATGAAAATACTTTCAAAACTTTATTTTCATAAGTAGTTTTTTTTTTATTGAGCGTTAAAAACCTCAAGTGGGATCTTAGCCGCCACTTTGTCTATTTAAAAATTATTTTTATTTTATTTTATAACTTTAAAAGTTAATTTAAAAAAATTTTTATAAATTTTCCTTTAATCACTTCAATTATACTCAAGAATAATTCTAAAACTAATTTGACACATAAAATCAATAAAACTAATCATTTAAAACCTCAAGTGAGATTTAAGACGCCATTTTGCCTATTTTGAATTTGTTTATTTTATTTTATAATATTTAAACGTTAATTTAAAAAAATTTTTATAAATTACTCTTAATTCACTTTTAATAAGCTTATAAATAATTTTAAAACAATTTGATCTATAAATCCGATAAAATTAATCATTTAAAATCCCAAGTGAGATTTAAGACGCTATTTTGCCTGTTTTAAAATTTTTTAATTTTATTTTGTTACTTTAAAAAGTAATTGTTAGAAATTTTTATGAATTTTCCTTAATTCACTCTCACTTAATCCGAAAATAATTATAAAATAAAAATTTGGTGCATTAATTCAATAAAATTAATCATTTAAAACCGCAAGTGAGATCTAAGACGCCATGTTGTCTGTTTTGAGACTTTTTTTTCTTATTTTGTAATTTTTATAGGGTAATTTTAAAAAATTTTTATGGATTTTCTTTAATTCACTTTAACTTTACTCAAAAATAATTATAAAACTCTAATTTGATATATCAATTTGATAAAATTTATAATTTAAAACCGCAAGTCAGATGTTATACGCCATTTTGCTTATTTAAATTGCCAAGATAAAATAGCGGCAATTTTTAAATATTCAAAAGTAAAATATTGTATTTTTTGTATAAGTTTAAAAACTTTGACAATTTTAAGCCTTTAATTAAAATTTAAAGCAATAAATTATTAAAAATAAATAAAAATTGAAATTTTTTAAGTAAAAATATTAAAATTAAAGTGAAAAAATTTTTGAAAAATTAACAAAAAAAATCAAATAGATTTTGATGAATATTTATTGTCTAGAGGGTAGTTACCCCGGATCAATGAATGAGTTAGTGAGAATCGAGGATATATATAAGTACACACTTCTACAATATACATACAAGTAGTATATATATATATATATATATATATATAGGATTTAGGTTTATAAGAGAAGTAGTAAAGTTACCGCTCAAATTTATTTATAGACAAGTTTATTCTGGAATAAAGCTAGTGTAAGTGCACGGAGAGGGTGGATTGCAGCTATAGGACTACAATAATAGTAATAGTAATAGTAATAGGTAAAACTAAATTCTATACATCTAAATGGAGTAGAGTGAATACTGAATGCAAGTTAAAACTTCGATGTCGATGCACCCGAGTGAGACTCGCCCATTGTTGGATATTTTTAAATCATACCTACGGAATTATCCTCGGTTGGTGGCTCTTGCACTCGACAAAACTTATTTTTTACTACCGCTATTGTTTCTCGAAATTAAAAAACCCTCTCTCTATCGGGACTGTTGTTTTCTCTTGTTTTTTCACCGGACAAATATGTGAATAACCTATTCTAGTCAATTTAGTTAATGGAAGTTACAACAATGCTTCTCTGCATTCAATATGGCGGCCTTTTAGTCTCACATGCTATTTTTATTTGTTTATGAGATTGGAATTATTGATTAAGGGTCATTTCTGTTGCTGTTTGTTGATTTTAGGAGAGTGAATTTAATGGAATCAATTTTCATTCAAGGAAATTTATTTATAAATTTCTAAAAATAACCTTACATATTTAATGAGTTCAATAGCACTGAATTAAAATCAATAAAATTTCAAATTAAGGTAAAAGCCCCAATGACACTATTAGAGACAAAGTTATGATTTGATTTTTTTTTTAAATCAAATATCAATATTAATTTTGTTTGTGGTAATGTCTCAAGTAATGTTTTTGCTAATCAAATTTTTTAAAATTATAATCACTGATATTTACTAATTAATTTTAAATAATTACATAGATTATCCGGAGACACCAATTATTGGCAGGTTAAAAAACTGATTGATCTAATTATTGACATACCTTCACCCCAATTATTGACACCTATACCAAGCATGCCTACAATCATCCGCTTATAGTCTTATTTATCCAAACTTATTATTAAGTAATCAATTTTATTAAAGTTTATTAATAATAATTTCCATAAATGATTAATTACTTTTAAAAATATAAAAATTTATTTTAAAATAATTTATTTAATCAGAAGAGTTCAAACTCTTACAGTTAATTTTTTAGATTAAAGTCAAAAAAAGACGTCTTAGCGCTGTCGAATGGCTGTCAATATGAGATTCAACTTAAAAATTATCTACTAGTTATTGACACCCATTATTTAAATATTATAAAGCATACAATTAATTTCGATTATTCAATTTTATAAATTTTTCATATATTGATTATTAAAAAAAAAAAACGATGATATTATTAGATGAAGAAATGAATTTAAACTCGGCATTTAAAAAAATGCTTTTCTAATCAAAGTTGTTAAGAAAATAAACGTTCGTAAGCTGGTTTTCTGGTGGTAACTTTATTTTTTAATAATTAATATTTAATATTAACTGACAGTAATTTTTTTCAATTGTTTAATTAATTAGAATTTAATAAAAATTTATATGATAGTTATTCTTATTACAGATTATTAAATATATTTAAAAATAATTTAGGGTGTCAATATTTAGACCCTTGTCAATAATTGAGGCTTTTACTTCCTATAATTTTAATTCATAAAAATTTGTTTTTTAATAAAAAAAAATATCTTACGTAACAAATAACCTGTCATATTTGAACTCCAATAAATATTTCTTCCCCATAGTATAAATAGCCTATTGAACGCTATAAATAAATTTTATTAATACCGTATCTATATATAACGAGACTTTTGCGATGAATTTTTTTTTTTTCATAATGTAATAAAGAGAATCTATACAACACAAAGGGCAACTTACAGCCGTTCATCCAAAAATAAACTATGGATATTTAAGTGCAGTCTAGTACACTTCTATGTATATATATATATATATATGACATGAACACTTGTGTGAGTTTTAAGTTGATGAGGGTATTTCGTCACCGCGGAAAGAGGCACGCGTTATTTTCTCTTCTTTTCTATCTTTGTTATTCTGTTGGCCAATCTCACTAATACATCAAACCATTTCATTAAACATTATATTAGATATTTCCATTAGTCGAGCACGAACTAAAAGTAAAATGATTGGATGTGCAAATATTTGCATGCGCTTTTTTCATTATTATTATTATTTATTAAAAAATAATAATAATAGTCCAAGTCAAAAATTTATAATAATAAGAATTAGAATTATTATTATTATTATTATTTTTAAAATTATTAAAATTACTGCATAAAATATTGAAAGTAACAATGACAATAACTAGCAACATTGCAGTCACTACGTGAATGCCGTGACTTGTGAACTATAACTAAAATTTTGCTTTATTAAATAATGAATTTTGTTAAATTGCACTGTACTTTTTTAACTATTTGCGTTTTTTTTAAAATAAGCTCATCCTGATGTTATACTCATCAAGAGCTTTCATTTGAGTACCCACATGCATTTTTGATATATTTTTCATATATACATATATATAATATATATAAATATATAAAATATATGAAAAATTGATGTGGGGACTCAAATGAAAGGTCTTGATGAGTGCGACATCGGGATGAGCTTATATTTTTAAAAATGTCAATAGTTCACAAGATACAAGGTCATTTCTTAATTATTGACATTTTTTAAGATATAAACTCATTTTGATGTCACGCTCATCGGGACCTTTCATTTGAGTACCCACATGGTATTTTTCATATATTTGATATATATATTGTATTTGAGAAATATGTAAATATATAAAATATATGAAAAATTGATGTGGGTACTCAAATGAAAGGTCTTGATGAGTGTAACATCGGAATGAGCTTATATTTTTAAAAATGTCAATAGTTCACGAGATACAAGGTCATTTCTTAATTATCTATCGAGACTGGCTAGAAAATTTTGCTTATTTTCTTAATAATATAAATAATAATAATAATGATAATTTTTTCAGATTGATGATCCAATTCATGTAATAAGTGTTGAAGAACCAGCAAGTGTCGCTCGACAAAAACCTCCAGACTATGATGCGGTAGCAGATGCACCGCCTAGTTATGATGACGCTATTAAACTTAATCCAGGACAATTAACAACTCGCGCTAGTATCAGCGGGATTTCGCCGATTTTACCGGGTATGATTACAATGTCGAATAATAGCTCCGCGACAAGTGGAATTTCCAATGACCAACCGACTGCTCCTACACCACCGCCTGCGTACGCCAGGTAATTTATCAATCCATTAATTAATTAACTCCTCGATTATTTCAATTTTATGTTTTATGTTATTTAACTCCGATTCATTCGAATATGTTATTTAAGTCAGATTTATTTAAGGTCAATAAACTCATCGATTATCTAGAATAAAAAAAATAATGCACGAATTTATCTTGTAAATGAAAAATTTATCTTTTACAAGCTTAAAATACATTAAAATGATAAGTTTTTTTAATTAAGGCACTTGTTACAGTGGATAATTAAAGATTGTGTTTCATTACACTCGGAATATTGATTTAAATCTTGGAGATTAGTAGAGTGAAGAGAGTTTTATTAATTAAATTAAAATTATTAGCATGTTATTAATTTTTTTTATTTAAAATTTTTATACTGAAAAATAATAAAAATTTTCCTAAAAATAAATTGTAATAATAATATTTCTTTAATCTTTAAAAAATAATTTTTTTAAAAATTTTTATAAAATTTCTTAAATAATTTTAATCAAAATTAAAATTTTTTTAAATTATTTTTAATGATTAATAAATGAAATTTTTCTTTATTAGATAATGACTTTTGTTAAATTCTACTGTACTTTTTTAACAATTGACGTTTTTAAAGATATAAGCTCATCCCGATGTTACACTCATCAAGAGCTTTTATTTGAGTACCCACATGCATTTTCATATATTTTTTTATATGTACATATATATAATATATATAAATATATGAAAAATTGATGTGGGTACTTAAATGAAAGGTCTTAATGAGTGTAACATCTGGATGAGCTTATATCTTTAAAAATGTGAATAGTTCACAAGATATTTGTTAAATTGGACTGTACTTTCTTAACTATTGACGTTTTTGAAGATATAAACTCATCCCGATGTTACACTCATCAAGAGCTTTTATTTGAGTACCCACATCCATTTTTGATATATTTTTTATATATACATATATATATATATAAATATATAAAAAATTGATGTGGGTACTTAAATGAAAGGTCTCGATGAGTGTAATCTCGGGATGAGCTTATATCTTTAAAAATGTCAATAGTTTACAAGATACAAGGTCATTTCTTAATTACGTATCTAGAGATAGTGCATTTTCAAATGTGTCCCAAATATTTATTATATAAATACACTGGCCAAAAAATTTTGCTTGTTCTCTAAATAATATAAATTATAACTTCTTTAGAAAAATTCTCAATTTTTTTTTTTATAAATTTGAACTCTAGAAAAAAATTAAATAGCAGAAGAATAGTTATAAGATTAAAAAAAATATCTTACAATTGCCTGTTGATCAACCCCATTTGGAGGAGGTGGTGGACTAAAACTAGTTGCAGCCGGCGCACCAGGCGCAGTTTGATGTTGCGTCCCTTGTGTGGTTTGTATTTGTGGCCCTCCAGGGGTTGCTTGCTGCTGAGATCCGGTATTTTCCTCTTTTACCGGTACTGGCGGAGGTGGTTTTACTTCTCCAGCAGCTCCCGCGGCCCCCACGACCCCAGTTACTCCGTTAACCGGAGGTGGAAATACACCCCCACCGTAAGGCGCAGCCATTCCTGTCTGCACCACGTGCTGTAACAAAATAAAAAGATCCAAATTAATATTTCTTTGATACTTTTTTAACTGACTTTACTCTGTATTGCGTATAACTAATGCGAAACAAAAGGTTAAAATTGCAAAATTGAGCAGCATCTGTGGAAGACATTTGCAGGGTCTGAATAAAACATAAAAAGAAAAATTTTTAAAGTGCTAGAGGCTTTCGATATTGGAGCCCTCCGAGTTACAAGATATTTTTTATATTTTTTTTCAAGAATTCTGATAGGCTGGAAAATATAATGGCTCGACGTAACACAGAAGTCAGAGTTGCCAATTCTCAATGGAAAAATTAAATTTGCTTGAGGCGATGAAAGTAGAACATTTGGCAATACGCCACTGAAAACCTAAGGCTATATAAAAAGAAAGAGGAAATAGTATAGTATATAATGTATATATAGTTGTGTTTGGACTCATTTGAAAATTCAAATGTAAAACAGGATGCGAGGAGGGCAAAACACTGGAATTATAACGAATATCCTTGGCTTTCTCTAATCTACACCCTTGCTTCTCGGGTACATTCTAAATCGGTCTTTCGATAAGCTGCGACATGCTGCCTGGCTGTCAGAGACCCCCGGGGCTTTAGAGCTTTCTCTTTACTCTTCTCTACCTCTACTCTCTTCACCCATACTCACGCTTCCGGGTTACTATCAACCCTCGAGCTAAACACTACAAAGTGGATAATAACCAAGGATAATTATCGAACTGAGCCAATGCTTCCAGCTGCTGCCGCTATTCCACTTTTATACAATACCATTTTATATATTTTTAATTATTCTTATATAATATTCCTTCTTTTGTTGCAATTAGATTCAACTGTTCAATTTAAGTTACTTTTTTTTTTTTATATATAAAATTTCATCTGGAATTTTCGATAGTTCCATATTTTATCAGCGTATTAATTTTCGGTATAAGTGTGACAATACGAGGATGCTGAAAAATTCATCCAATTGTTTGATCTATATTATTAAGAGAATAAGGAAAATTTTGTCTCGAGGATCGTCAAATCATAAAATCTGCTTTTTTGGTCTATATCTTGTAAACTATTGACATTTTTAAAGAGATAAGCTCACTCCGACATTACACTCATCGAGACCTTTCATTCAAGTACCCACATCAATTTTTTATATATTTATATAATTTATATATAAGTGAAAAAAGGCAACAAGCAAGATACAAGTGGATGGAAGAACTAGAGGGGGAATTAACAAGAGAAAGATTAGTGATAATTTTAAAAGGGGAAATAAATAGGGAGCTGTATATATATGTTAGAGAAATGGAAAAATTATTTAAGGAAATTGAGTAGTATTACAATATTGAATGTCAGAAAAAGGCAGTCATTAATATACAGGGATGGATACTAGAAATAAGTATAAAATAGTATTAATAGTATTGTAATGCGACTGTGATATGAAGGATGAGGTGGGTGAAAAGTTAAAAGAGAGTAAAAGCAGTTGATTTTTAAGCCAAAAATAGTGTATATGCAAATGTAAATAAATAATTTAAGATACAGTTTTGTAAAACGCAATATGTGATACAAATAAAAACGATATTCTATTCTATTCTATATTTTATATATATATGTATATATGAAAAATATATTAAAAATACAAGTGGGTATTCAAATAAAAGCTCTTGATGATTGTAACATCGGGATGAGCTTATATCTTTAAAAACGTCAATATTTAGGAAAGTACAGTGCAAATTAATAAATATTTAGTGAACTATTGACATTTTTAAAGATATAAACTCATCCTGATGTTACACTCATTGAGACCTTTCATTTGAGTACCCACATCAATTTTTCATATATTTATATATTTTATATATATTATATATATGTATATATAGAAAATATATCAAAAATGCAAGTGGGTACTCAAATGAAAGCTCTTGATGATTGTAACATCGGGATGAGCTTATATCTTTATTAATGTCAATAGTTAAGAAAGTATCAGTTTAATTCTAACAGAAGTCATTATATAATTACTCGTTATTAATTATTAATTATTATTCTAGAAAATATTTGAAGAAATTTAAAGAGGATAAAAAAATGTTTGTTTGATGAAATTTTTTAAGGGGAAATAATATTGTATACTCAACACAAGTTGAATAAACTATTTAATGTGTAATGTAAAAGAAATATTTGAGTTTTGCTTGAAAATCCTTTTTTAAAAGGTTTGAAGTATGCTTTAAAATGGAAATGAAATGCAAGTTGAGCAAGTAAAAGAAAAGGAGGTTTCTGTAAAGGAGTTTTGTGAAGCGATCAAGACGAAGACGCTGTAAAAGAAGAAAATAAAAAACGTGTGTGACATTTGATAGGGAGAAAAATACAGGTTATAAAAATTCAAACGGAAACTTAAGTCTCTGAGGAGAAGTTTAATATTTAAAGAAAAGAAATAAATAGATTTTTATTTTCTTTTTAATGTCTTCTGGTCTTAAGGGATGAAAGTAGGTAAAAGACCCAACCAAACTATTTAAAGTTTTATAAACATATAATTAGTTTTAGAATAAAAATTATTTATACCAAAGCATCATAGGGTTTTATTCGGAATTTAATTTGTGCCCTTTAATAAATATAAAACCAGTAATTAAAGATTTAATTTATTTTTTCATTTCGTTACAGTAAACGAATTGTAATGTAAATAACAAAAAAGCATGGAAAAACGAGAAGAGCGAAAAATGATGGACGTATTTCAAATATACGAAGCGTAAAAAAAGTGAAAAATAAAATTTTTTTTTCATGTTAAATAAACTGACGGAATTTAAAATACTATATTTATATTTGTTTATAAAATGTAGAAGCAATCCAATTTTGGCAACTTATATTTAAAAAAATGATTGACTTGGAAAATAAAACCTTTTCAGTAAACAAGGATATAAATTTGATATCAATTTCAGATGAGATTAAAATAAAAACAGGCACAATTATAAAAATTTTTAGCTTTTAATTGGCTAACACTTTAAAAATGTCAATAGTTCACGAGATACAAGGTCATTTCTTAATTATTGACATTTTTAGAAACATAAGCTCATCCCGATGTTACACTCATCAAGACCTTTCATTTGAGTACCCACATCAATTTTTCATATATTTTATATATTAATATATATATTATATATATCTATATATGAAAAATATATCAAAAATGCATCTGGGTACTCAAATGAAAGGTCATGATGAGTATAATATCGGAATGAGTTTATATCTTTAAAAATGTCAATAGTTCACGAGATACATTGTCATTTCTAAATAATATATATTAAAAAATTCTTCATAGTTTCAATTAAAAGAAAAAAAAAATAATTGTTTAAACTGTCTTATTAATTAAATTACACATTAGCATATTCAAAAAAAACTTTCATAACTCTAAAGGTCATACAAATGTCATAAAAATTAAAATGTCATAACCTG